GAGTCTAAATCCGTTACCTTTACCTTCCCAATAATGACACATAGAATCTTATAATTAATATAGAAAATACCACAAGTCTTGACATCTTCCGAATGAAACTCGATTCCTAACCACATATACAACTTTAAAATACCCCATTGTTACATGTAGAATCTTGAACGCATTAGAACCATTCTCGAGAGTCATTCACTCAGAACATCATTTACAATTATTACTCACCTCAATCCGATCGGAACTCTAGCCCGCGATGCCTTACCCATAAGAATCAACCTCCGGATGCTCCATATATAGCCACAATCAGTACATAACTCTTAAAATATGCTAAGGGAACAAAGCTCACTCGAAAATATCCAATTTCCACCAAAAATCTCGAAATTGCTCGAACCCGGCCTCCAGGCCCACGTCTCAGAATCTGATAAAAGTCACATCAGTAAAATCTTCATCCTCTTACGAGTTTATACATACCAAGAACATCAAAATCAGACCTCTTATGACCCCTCAAATCCCAATTTTTAGGTCTCCAATTACAAGTCTTAATTCCCCAATTTTAGGCTTTAATTTCTACATATTTCATTATTAAAAAAGTAAGAATCAACATAGGATCAAGTATAGAGTTTAAAAATCTTACCTCCAAGTGTACCCTTCGATTCCCTCTTCAATCTTTCTCAAAAGCTCTAAAAATCGTTCAACAATGGAGAAAATAGACCAAAGCTTGCGAAACTCATTTTTTAAACATTCTGCCCTAGGTAAAATTTCCTTCTTCGCGAATGCGGTCAAAGTCTCGCGTTCGCGAAGCACAAAATAACCTTGACCAGAATTTCCTCTTCGCGATCACGACCTACCCATCGCGAATGCGATGCTTCCTCGGACTAAACCTTAGCAATCGCGTTACACCACTCGCGAACGCGATGAATAAAATGCCTCAAGCTAGCTGATCAAATTACTCTACGCGAACGCGGCATGGACCTCGCGAATGCGATGCACAAGACTCTAGCCCTTCAAATTCTCAGCCTCACCAGCTAACCCTTCGCAAATGCGAGGACCTACTCGCGAACGCGAAGGTCAAATTTCCTAAAATCCTTCAGCAGTTTTCTGCACCTTTTAAAAACATGAAATGGCCCGATTGACCACACGAAACTCACTCGAGGCCCTCGGGACCTCAACCAAACATGCCAATATATCCCCTAACATAATTGAAATTTGTTCCAACCTTCGGAATGCTCAAAACAACATTAAAACACCAAATTTGCATCGAATTCNAAATATGCCAACATATCCCATAACATCATTGAAATTTGTTCCAACCTTCGGAATGCTCAAAACAACATTAAAACACCAAATTTGCATCGAATTCAAGCCTAAGAATTCTAAAATCTTCCGAATTATGCTTTTGATAAAAAAACCCGACCAAACCACGTCCGAATGACCTGAAATTTTGCACACACGTCACAAATGACACAACGAAGCTACTGCAACTTCCAAAATTCTATTTCGACCCCTATATCAAAATCTCACCTATCACCCGGAAAACGCCAAAATCTTAATTTCGCCAATTCAAGCCTAAACCTTCCACGGACTTCCAAAATGCATTTCGATCATGCTCCTATGTCCCAAATCACCTAACAGAGCTAACCAAATCATAAAAATTCTGATCCAAGATCATATACCAACAAGTCAAATCTTGGTCAAACCTTTCAAATTATAAGCTTTAAACTGAGAACTGTTCTTCCAAATTCGTTCTGATTACCCTGAAATCCAACACCAACAATTTACATAAGTCATAATCCTTCATACGGGGCAAGTCATACCTGAGAAATGACGATAAAGGTGCAAAAGATCAAAACGACCGGTCGGGTCGTTACACTTTACCCCCAATTTTTCCCGTACACACCTTTTATTCTATTTTTGTCAAGTTGAACTAGTAGAGACTCCATTGTGATTTATTAAGGTGTTCAATATTTGTTGACCTATAGTTTATAAGACCGAAAGTTGGTTAGAAATTTTGAAAGCGTATAAATGATTTACTCCTATAATATATTTCCTCCGTCCTAAATTAGGTATCGTGTTTTTCTTTTCTAGAGTCGTAAACGTTAACCAATATTTTAAAATATTTTTTTCATTAACGTCTTATAAAAATCTAGTAATTGTCTAGGTACATCCTAGTTGGGAAAATCAAACTACCTACAAAACTCTACTAGTAATAATATTAATTTCTTTTTGAAAAAAAAAAACTATTGTTGTCCAAAATATTTCGGTCTTTTGTTGGTTAAATTTTTGTTTTTGGGTCTAGTTGAAATATTTTACACTATTACCTAATAAGATCCAAACACACTTCAGACAAAAGAACTTTTTCTGATGGAACATCACTCTGATCTTTGAGCTTCTCCATCTTAGAATAATAGTAGTAGCTAGTATTATTAAGGCCAAACCCATATGCGGCCCCTCTAACTTGGCGCCAAAATTTATATGGACATCTCAACTTAGCTATGTTTCATTTAAACACTCCAACTATGTTTTAAGTGTTCCACTTAAACACAAAACACTGACATGGCAAAAAGATTGTAGTTCACGGCTCTTAGGCGTGTGATTGGATCTGATATAATGTTTTCCTTTTCTTTTTATATTCCTTCTCCCCAAAAGTTCATCACCACCTTCTATGGCCTATTGCTACAATTCCTCCGCCACCATTCTCATCCCCCTCTCTCTCCTCTGCCACTCTTCCCCTTCCTCCTCCACTGTCTTGAAGAAAAATAGGACGAAAACCTTCCAAATATTGTAGGAATTTCTCTGGTTTGATAATGACATAATTTATGTGTTGAAGCTTTTTACAAAATAAAATGCATAAAAAGAGAAAATTGCGGCCCCTCCATTTATGTTGCTCTGTTCGATGATGAATTTGGATAACATCAGTTTGAAATTCTTGTTACCCGGTTCTTCAAAAATTCGAAGCTTTAAGAAAAATTAAAAATTTTATTTTATTGCTGATAATATCAATTAAAGATTAAAGTTGAAACATAAAAGCTCTATAAATACTCACTCATGTTCGAAGCTTTAAATTTCGAATTGAAGAATTTAGAGGTTATCTTGTTGTGTTTTCATTCCCACTTGATTTGTTCTTGAATTTTATAGATGTGGGTTGGTTGATTTCGACCCAGAGATATAGTTTGTGGTTATTGGAGTTTCTATGGACAATTTTGTTCTTGAATTTCAATTCAGATTTGGATTTTTACTCCACATGTTTAGGTGATGGCATTCTTGGGGAGAAGTGAGACATGAGTCTGGCTAGCAGTGATGGACTTTTGCAGCAGGGCTATGAAAATGTCTGATAATGGCTTAAGCAAAAAAATTGTAAAAGAGAAAGAAAATAAGAAAATAGAAAAAAGAAATGATTCTTCTTTCATTGTAGTTTTTTTCTTTTCTTTTGCTGACTTGTTTCTTTATTAGTGGTGTTAATTTTCATGTTAGTGGCAAGTAGCATTCACGCACTTAGCCTTGTTTAGAGTTGTCAAAATTGTGTTTAAGTGGAACACTTAAAACATAGTTGGAGTGTTTAAATGAAACATAGCTAAGTTGAGGTGTCCATATAAATTTTGGCGTCAAGTTAGAGGGGCCGCATATGGGTTTGGCCTATTATTAATTAAGGACGTTGACACTTGACGTAACGGGTCAATGGAATAAATAGGGAAAACCCTACTAAGGTGGTGGGAAGTTGTATGTATTTAATTTTGATAGATGCATAATTGTACATAGAGGCAGAGTCGGATTTTGAATTTGTCACTGAATTCGTATATAACTCGTTTTAGTTACTGGGTTATATATATATATATATATATATATATATATATTTCCTCTGAGAGCCTTTTTTCCGGTGGTTATGGGGTTACACCAAGGATCTGCACTCAACCCGTTCTTATTTGCGCTGGCAATGGACGCACTGACACACCATATCCAAGGAGATGTGCCATGGTATATATTATTCGCTAATAATATAGTTCTGATTGATGAGACGCGAGACGGTGTTAATGAGAGGCTGGAGGTATGGAGGCAGACCCTAGAGTCTAAAGGTTTCAAGTTGAGTAGGACTAAGACGAAATATGTGGAATATAAATTCAGCGACGTGAGGGGGGAAGCGGATGTGGAAGTCAGGCTTGACTCACAGGTCATCCTAAAGAGAGAAAGTTTTAAGTACTTAGGATCAATTATCCAGGGAGATGGGGAGTTCGAAGGGGATGTTACACACTGTATTGAGGTGGGGTGGATGAAATGGAGGTTAACGTCTGGAGTCCTGTGTGACAAGAATGTGCCGCTGAAACTCAAAGGTAAGTTCTATAGAGTGGTGGTTAGACCGACCATTTTGTATGGAACTCAGTGTTGGCCAGTCAAGAATTCACATATCCAGAAGATGAAAGTAGCAGAAATGAGTATGTTGAGATGGATGTGTGGGCACATTAAGCTGGATAAGATTAGGAATGAAGATATTTGGGAGATGGTCGTGGCTCCCGTGGATGACAAGATGCGGGAAGCGCATGTTAGATAGTTAGTACATGTACGGAGGAGAAGCCCAGATGCACCGGTTAGGAGGTGTGAGCGGTTGACTTTGGCAGGTATGAGAAGAGGCCGAGGGCAACCTAAGAAGTATTGGGGCGAGGTGATCTGGCAAGACATGGCGCAACTTCAGATTTGTCTTATTCAATAATCAAAGTCAATAAAATCCAACAATCATGTTTTTTCAAGTATATTCAATCAAATCAATCACAATTAAGTAATGAGTTTTCAATTTCCTACAACACATACGAAGGAGAAGGAGAATGAGAAGGATAAGAGAAAAGTATATTGCGCTATTTTTTTAAGGGGACCAAAATTAAACATCAATTCTTAAGGAGGACACGTGACGAAAATTCGTGAAAGAAATATTATCCACAAGAACGAGAATTAGGGGAAGGATTGCTACTAATATTGTAGTAATGCAATAATACTAAAAAAAAATAACATAAAACATGTACCGAAAAGAACAACATTCCACTATAATCAAATGTGAGTACTTTCTGCACTTATTCTACATTTTAGATTGAAAGCATTACTACAAGTACATTGGTCATGGAATCACAAAAAAAAAAAAAAAAAATACAACAATTTCATTCCACTAACAATACAACTGCAATTGGACTGCTTACTGAGTGCCTATTAGAATTCCATTTCAAGAATCCCTGACCAACTTCTCTGTCTGAGTTATTGGTTGTCTTGGTAAATGTCACTTGGTATGTCAATTTCTGGTTTAATATAGAGAAGTTTAGCTTGGAGGGTTTAACTTTCACTGCAATTCCTTTTGGTGAAACTATTTCTACTTTGTAAATTGATGTCGCGTTACCAACATTGGTCACAGTTCTGGTATATGTTTGAGGAGTTGATCTAAGTCTGATGGAAAATGAAGGATAATTTAGTTGCGCTTCAGGGATACTTTTCACCTCCGAACAATTCACCTTGCCTTGTAACAATTTACCTACCTCTCGATTTGTGTAGTTCAAACCACATAAATAAGGAACATAGTCCTCAAATGGGGTATCATAAACTAGTCCTGGATCATTTGCTCTCGATGGATTAACATGTCCTGCACCAATGGCAAAGATATCAGCAGGAATGAGCCTTTCATCTAATATTGGATTCTTGGCAAGGTTTAATGTATAAGTTGTTGTCATGATTGCGGACTTAATAGCAGCAGGAGACCAATCAGGATGCGCGCTCTTCAGGAGAGCTGCTATACCACTAAGGTGAGGGCAAGACATTGAGGTTCCGGATATAATATTGAACGTTGATTTTGTGTTTTTGTTGTTATCTACTGAGGTAGGCCAAGCAGCAAGGACATTAACACCAGGACCAATAATATCAGGTTTCAAGATGCCACGACTTGCTTCGCTTGGTCCTCGAGAAGAAAATGAAGCAACTATAGGAGCATTTTTATCTCCAAGTACAGTTCCACGGAAGGTGATTGCAGCAACAGGATTCGACGTTGAGTTTATGTAGGCAAGAATTTTCTTTCCATCTGCATCTGAAACATCCAATGCTGGAAGGACATGAGCTTCAGCTGATTTAGTAACACCATCGTTTGGATTATTGATGAGAATCATGCCAACACCTCCAGCATCCTTTACAACTTGTCCTTTATTAACCCTGCTAACTCCACCACCAACCAGGCACACGACTATCTTTCCTCTTATAGAAGGGTCAGTGAGTGACCCTGGTACGCAGAAAGGGGCATCGAATTGCTCATGTACTATCTTTTCAACATCAAATAGAGTGAAGAATGTTGAGTTTGAAGTCTTTGGATGATAAGCGGATTCTCCTTCAAATTCTTCTTTATTTCCAAGCTTAACAGTGGCCTTTAGTTTTCTATCATGAGTGCTAGCGCCAACTGTGAGAATCCAAGGGGCGTCATTTGCTACAGTACGTTGGGATGGACCACTATTGCCTGCAGAACAACTAACAAGAATACCTCTTTCTGTTGCACTATACGCCCCAAGAGCAAT